GCTTCTGAGAAAGCACCTGATTCTGTTGGGCCACACTCAACCTACACTCTATTCTCGACATTGCTCAAATCCCAAAGCCCTGAGTCCTCATCCTGCTGCCAGCTAGCCAGTGAGAGAATGTGATGTTCACCCTTGCCCTGATTCTCTCAACCCCAGGTCACAGGGTGGACTGGGTACATCTAGCCTGCCTCACTCAGATGTCCACCCTCTGGCAAAGCTTTTCTCTTCCTGGGAGGACAAGACCAGAGGAACCTCCAGTTCTTTCTTTATCAGAAAGCACTAGGTTTGCATCCAAGAAATGAGCCTGGTAATGCAGCTCTTCCATCAGTTTAATGAAATCACATCTGTCTTCTGAGGCTAGAGGACACCCTGTACTCAACCAAAGAGCCCTATGGAGAGCAGACCGGCCGTACCCCAAGTCACTATCAAGTGCACCAGCTCTTCTTGTAAACAGTTTGAGACACTTAACTCTGCCTTTCTCAAATGTTGTTCAGATGGTTGCATAATTTACAGAATAACTGTGGAAACAGTGTGGAACGCTAGGCATATTCACTCTTAAGATATAGTCTAAGCTCTGAGGTTTCCAGGGTAATGCTCCCTTCTTCCGGCCACCGAGACACAGACACCCACATATCTGCTGAGCACCTGGGAAGCATCTGAAAGATTTAGGGATGGTGTCCCAGTCAGTAAGGGCTGGTGATGGGAACCATGTGGAGCCCTGGAGGAGCAGGGAGCTGCCCTGCAGAGACTTGGGAAAAGAACCCTCCAGGAAAGTGAGCAGAATACTCAAAGCCCAGATATAAAACAGGAAACAGAAGGCGGGAGGCCACGAGGAACTGGGTTTGCAGGCCTGGGGACTTTTGGGAAGGAATGGTTGTTGGGACAGAAAGGGAAGAGACCCCACTAGGCTTGTCAGCTTGATGTGGATGGGTGACCCCAAAGATGTCTAACGACATCCAGAAGTTAGTATCGGGGACAGTAGGCAGAGCCTAAAGTCTAGCCACTGAACAGAAAAGGTGATGAGGACAGGGTTCATGCTCCTCTGTGCTTTCCATTCAGAATCAGACTGAAACACACCAAGGAGCAGGTAAACAAGCAAGATTGTGGAGAAAGAAATCTAGCCTACTTCTGCTAACTAGTCCCCAAATCCCAAAGATTTATAGCCCCTCAAAACACTGCCATTATCTGGGAACAAAGTATCTCTGAGCATATGAGAGACGTTTCAGACTGACAACTGCATCCCGCTCTACTGACAGTCTTGCCTTATTCCCAGTGTTGTCTTCAATAGCTGAGGTTATGGCCACCCACAGAGCTCTTATCTGCTATCCAGTGCAGTGACCAGAGTCATGAGTGATGAACGACTTTCTGTGCATATGGCCCTGTGTTTCTCAACACCCTCAAATCTTGATTGACGGCTGATTCAATTAAGACCATGGAGGGGGCCGCCGGAAGTGTCACGAAGTGTTGTGCGACCGAGTCTGTACTGAGATGGGCCTGGACCCGGAGCGATACCACTATGTCCATCGAAATCGAGTCTTCCGATGTGATTCGTCTCATCATGCAGTACTTGCAGGAGAACAGTTTGTACCGGGCATTGGCCACCTTACAGGAGGAGACTACTGTCTCTCTCAACACTGTGGACGGCATTGAAAGTTTCATGGCTGACATTAACAGTGGCCATTGGGATACTGTTTTACAGGCTATACAGTCTCTGAACTTGCCAGACAAAACCCTTATTGATCTCTATGAACAGGTTGTTCTGGAACTGATAGAACTTCGTGGTTGGGTGCTGTCACGTCCCTTCTGAGACAGACAGACCCCATGATTATGTTGAAGCAAACACAGCCAGAGCGCTATATTCATCTGGAAAACCTCTTAGCCAGGTCTTACTTTGATCCTCGTGAGGCCTATCCAGATGGAAGCAGCAAAGAGAAAAGGAGAGCTGCGATTGCCCAGGCATTAGCTGGAGAAGTCAGCGTGGTGCCTCCATCTCGTCTCATGGCATTGCTGGGACAGGCGTTGAAGTGGCAGCAACACCAGGGCTTGCTTCCTCCTGGTATGACCATAGATTTGTTTCGAGACAAAGCAGCTGTCAAAGACGTGGAAGAAGAAAAGTTTCCCACACAGCTGAGCAGGCATATTAAGTTTGGTCAGAAATCGCACATGGAGTGTTCTTGGTTCTCTCCAGATGGTCAGTATCTGGTCACTGGATCTGTTGATGGATTTATTGAAGTGTGGAACTTCACTACAGGAAAAATCAGGAAGGATCGTAAGTACCAGGCCCAAGATAACTTCATGATGATGGATGATGCTGTCCTCTGCATGTGTTTCAGCCGAGATACTGAAATGTTAGCAACGGGGGCCCAAGATGGAAAGATTAAGGTGTGGAAGATTCAGAGTGGACAGTGTTTAAGGAGATTTGAAAGGGCACACAGTAAAGGTGTCACNAGGTGTGGAAGATTCAGAGTGGACAGTGTTTAAGGAGATTTGAAAGGGCACACAGTAAAGGTGTCACCTGTCTAAGCTTTTCAAAGGACAGCAGTCAGATCCTCAGTGCATCTTTTGACCAAACAATAAGAATTTATGGTTTAAAATCTGGAAAAACACTGAAGGAATTTCAAGGCCATTCCTCCTTTGTTAACAAGGCAACATTTACCCAGGATGGACATTACATTATCAGTGCATCTTCTGATGGCACTGTGAAGATCTGGAACATGAAGACCACGGAATGTTCAAATACCTTTAAATCATTGGGCAGTACTGCAGGGACGGATATTGCCGTCAATAGTGTGATTCTGCTTCCTAAAAACCTAGAGCACTTTGTTGTGTGCAACCGATCAAACACAGTGGTCATCATGAACATGTAGGGGCAGATTGTCAGAAGCTTCAGTTCTGGTAAGAGAGAAGGTGGTGACTTCGTTTGCTGTGCCCTCTCTCTCCGCGGTGAGTGGATCTACTGTGCTGGGGAGGACTTCGTGCTCTACTGCTTCAACACAGTCACCAGCAAGCTGGAGAGAACTCTGACGGTTCATGAGAAGGATGTGATTGGGATTGCACACCACCCGCATCAGAACCTGACTGCTACCTACAGTGAGGATGGACTCCTGAAGCTCTGGAAACCCCAAGTCTCTTTTACAATGGAGACCTGTTCCTGTGTTACTTTTACTTTTCATATCTGCCTTTGTAAGCAAACCAAAGGAGGAAGTCTGCCCTTCTTCGATAGAAACTATTTACTTGTGTCTCAGCAAGTCTTTATCCACAATAAACAGTATAAAGTTAAAATTGCCAGACACACAAGGAAGATACGTTGTTAGACAGTGATTGGAGAAGTGGCACTGGCACTATGGTCAGAAGAGACTTTAGTCGTGAGTACAGATCAGAGAGGGGACGACAAAGGAGAGCGGCATGCATAAACAAACAAACAGGAAATTATAGAAGATAGGTGTGTTGGCCTACAAAAGAATTCCACAAGAACCCAGAATATTTTAAACCCTATTGACTAAAGGAGTTCACACAGCATTTTCCCCTTTTGTCTAAATTAGAGAGTTCTAAACCTAA